TATCTCTAATATATACTAAGCAAAAGAATGAATATACAAATACAGTTTATATAGTATGTTATCATTTGTAAACAAAGTAGTCTATATATATGTGCACATGATAGTACCTCTGCAATGATTCCTAAGAAACTGGTAAGGATAGTTTCCTGTAAGAAGAGCCAAAGCTTGGATGATAAGGAATCTTTATTTTATTATTTTACTTTGTTACTGGGGAGTGAACACAGGGCCTTTACACCAAGCCACATCCTGAGCTCATTTTTAAAATTTTTGTTTTGAGATAGGTTCTCCCTAAGTTGCTAAGTTGCCCAGGTTGGGCTCAAATTTGCTGTCCTCCTGTCCCAGCCTCCCAGAGAGCTAGATTTACAGGCATGTGCCATCATGTTTGATGCACATGTATTTTTATATTTTGAAATATAAATTCTTTAACAGTTTGAGATAAAATTTACATATGAAGTATGTTTATTAGGTACTTATTTAATTAAGAAGAAAATGCTACATAATTAGGAATTAAAGATATTGATACTTAAGTGTACTTAAAAATGCTTAAGAATGTTCATAAGCTTATGCCAATATAGCTTTAATCAAAGAAAACTTATTGTGTTGAAAAAATAAAAACCTTCAGCCTTCCTTCCAGTTGATCTAAAAATGAACCAACTGGGGCTATTGAATTTATCTTTTCTTTCTTTTCTTTCTTTCTTTCTTTCTTTCTTTCTTTCTTTCTTTCTTTCTTTCTTTCTTTTTTTTTTTAAAGGGGAAGAGGTTTATTTGGCTTACAGTTCATAGAGGTTTCAGTCCATAATTGGCTGGCTCCAAGGAAGGGATGGTGAATAGGCATTTCAGAGGAGAAACAACATGGCACACACAAGGCAACAAGAGAGACACTTCCTGCCCCTTTTATCTTATTCAGACTACTTAGGGCAGGTAGCACTCACCCCCTTAATCCTAGAGCCTTTGAGCTTAGCATTGCATTATGAATCAATTCCAGCTTCACATACTTTAGATAGAGCCTATGACCACAGGAGGCTTTGAGGGGACATCTAGACCCAAACCATAACATTCCGCCCCTGGCCCCACTAAGAATCATGTACATTCCTATACACAAAAGGCATTTAGTCCATCTCTAAGAGTTGCTAAAGTCCCAAAAGTTCCAGCATTACTGAAAAGTCCAAGTCCCAAGTCTCCTCTGAGATTTAAGGCAAACTCTTAGCTGCAAGCTTCTGAACAAATGAAGAGAAAATTAAATACTTGCAACATTCAATAGCACAGATACACTTTACCATACCAAAAGGTACAAATAGGGGAATACAAAGGAATAGGACCAAGGCAAGTCCAAAATCCAGCAGGGCAAACATTGAATCCCATATTTCCACTGCCAGCATCCCTGGCAATCTGTGGCAAGTTGTACACTCCAAAGGATTTGGGTGGTTCTGCCTTTGTGGCACTTCTGGTGGTTGTAGCTCCCATGGCTTCCTTTTTGGTCCAGCTCTCTTCCTTCCCTGCAGCTTTTCTCAGATGATCCACACTCCTGGCTTCTCCAGACTTCTGGAGTTTCCACTGCACCTTTGTGAATTTACATTTTCTACAAGCCTTTCTTGCTACAGATATTGCATGATTTTCTGAAAATATTCATGTTGGACAAGTAGTGTTTTTTGTCTATTGTCAGGAGCAGAAATCTGAGCACTTCTTGGTTTGAGAGTCATCAAGGAGAAAAGAATGCAGTCAGTCCACTGGATGGGACCATCCTTCTCTAAAATGGAGAAATGCTGGAGCAAGGTCAGCTCTGGTAGGGGTGTCCATGCCCCACAGCCAGGAGGCTGAGTGAAAGAACCTGACATGGAGAACCTGCTAAATCAAGCTCAGATTCATGATTTACAGAAATACCAAGGTCATAAATATTATTTTAAGCTACTAAATTGTAGAATAATTCATTAAACAGAAATAGATAACAAACATAGTCTCCCATCTTGAAACTTTTGTGTATTGACTTCTCCCCTACTAGACTGCTAGACATACAAGTAACCAAGTAACAATTCCAACTATCAGATACTGAATTAGGAGATTAATTGTGGGAGGCCACCTCATTGATTATGCCCAAAGCAGGCTGTAAGTAGTGCAGGTGGTAAAGAGTTAACCCCACAACTGGCTTGTTTACAGAACCAAGTCCTACCAAAGTCTACATGCTGAGGCCAAAGTGACTCACACCCAAATTCCATTTCCAGAGTTAAAACTTGCTTTACTAAAAAGACAAGGTTAATTATTAACCACAACCTATATTTTGTCTGTTCTGTTCCTAATTCAAGAATGCTTTGTTTCTTCCTTTACAAGCCTTGCCTGCATCACCAACATGTACAGAGCAACTATGCATCCTCTCATGTAGCCCCTTTACCTCAATCTAACCATGATGTCACCAATAAATATCAACAGCTCAGGGTGTCTATGCCCTTTACTTGTTCAGCCTTGCTTGTGTGAACATTGGTCAACCTGGCTCCCCATTTCTTGTCTTTTTAATTCTATCTTTGAGTTTTTCTTCTAACCTTGCATTGCAGCACTGAGCAGGAGATCAGTACCTGCCACAGGGGTCTCTGATATTAATTAGACTTCTCACAGCAATATCATCGATTAGGGTGCTACTCCTTTCTGACAGTTCCTTTTTCCACCTCTTATCTTAAATTTGATGAATTCTCTGCTTTGTCCTGTAGCTTAGGTTTATCTGGTGTATTTGTACAGACATATAACATGCTTTGGCAATTTCCACCCCTATCCAAGGTATTGTTTTTATGTTTAAAATCTATTTTCCTTTTCCTTCCCATGTATTGTCTATCCATGTCCTTTGCATATTTTTCTAGTGGATTTTTAAATGTTATTGATCTGTAGGAACTCTTTGTACATAAAAGAAATCATTTTTTATCCTTTTGGGAAATAGTTTTGGTCATAATTGAGGCTTTTGTATTTTGGCATTGCCCTTTCTCCTAGGATATAATACTTTTGCCTCTCAGCTAAAAGCTCAAGGTATTTACTGACATCTTTACTCTGACTGCTTCATCTTACTGGGCGTGGCCCCAAACTTCCACCTTTGCAGCAATGCAGAGCTGTTTAGTTAAACTTTTGTTCAGCTCTTTGTTCTAATCCTATTTTTCTGTTGCAATTTCTGTTGTCTCTCTCTGGGGATATGTCCTAAGGAGTTAGCCAGAGACTTGAAAAGGGACAAGGTTGGATGATTTGTTCATTTCATTTCACCTTGCTCACTCTCTATACTTTCTCCTCTGAAGTCCTACCCACTTTGGCACCAATAAATTATAACGTTTCTCCTCAGCCCACTAAGTCCTCTGCTTGGGTCTATTTCCTCTGTTTTGTGAAGTCCAAAACAAGTGACAGTGACAGCACAGCTCCCCTCCTTTGCCACTCTTCTCAAGGATCTTGGCCTTTCATTTCCAGTCATGCTCGCCGTGTGCTTTCCAGGTTCTCTACAGTTATTTTATGTTTTAGCTTTCATAGTTGTTTTCAGCAGGAAGACTAGTTCATCACATATGGAACTAGAAAGAAATGCAAACATTATTTTTCGGAAAAGAAATAAGTCTGGGGAAGTTCATTGCAATTGGCAGAGGGTGCGGGCCAAAGGGTCAGAAGTCTACTGTAACAGTTTAGACAAGATATAGTGATGGCCTGGCTTTTGAATAGCTGCATTTGGTCTTGAATGAGGGGTTCCAAGCAAATCTTTCATTCATGGTGTCTTATTCTAATTCACTCTGATAAAGTAGTAATATCAAAAAACAAATATTAAGTGCTCACTGTGTGTATGCACTGTTCTACCTCTTTTACAAGGACTTTTTTATTTAAGCCCATGCCTGTTGGACACTGTTATCATCATTCTATTTCACAGATGAGCATATTGAGATTAGAGGATTTAAATAACTACCTCATCATTACATGGACAGTAAATGGCTCTTCTGGGCTTTGCAGCCAGGCCTGGAGGTCTACCCTCTCTTAGGGACTACATTTCATTGCCTCTCACCAGGCCTCAGAATAGGGGTTCTATTTTAAATATGAGAAGCTTAGAATTTATATTCTTAGGGGAAGAAAAGCAATTTTTTTGTTATTTGGAGAAATAAAGGAAGTAATATTTAAAAGCAATAAATTGAACAAATAAAACTACAGAAAAATATATATTTATAAATGGTGGAATAGATTTAAGTCTTTGCAAATTCAGTAGTAGAGCATTGTGATGTGCCCAAGAATGGGTAGTGAAGGTGAAGAAACACTTGGAAGATTAGTGACTGAACTTCTGTAGCAACAAAGTTGTTATCTGATATTTTATATATGAACATTCCCCCTCAAATAATTTTTTCCTGCTTTCTGGTGTTGGTTCATTTTGATTTTTTTTTTAAAAGAAAGTTTAATTTTTTTTAAGAATAGGAAAAATTTATTGAGAGAAAGAAAGCTTCTAAGAGAGATGGAAGGGGGACTGGGAAGGGGGATGCCCACCCACCCCACTTTTCAAAGATGTTTTATACAGCAAATCCATGTGGTGAGGTGGGTACAAAGTGGTTCAAAACTATAAGGCCCAGTGGAAATTTATATACTATTAAAGTATAACAAATAAGTTTTCTATGTGTCATTTAATGTCTTCTAATCAAATAGAGGTGTTTGACTAAAAGACTTTCATATAGAGATGGATATTTGAATGTGTTCCAAAGACAAGGTCATCATGGTTGTCATGCTAAAATACTATGTGTGGCTTTTGATCTTATTTCTCTATATAATGTGTAACTGTTGTCTGTTAACATTCTGCAGAGATTCAACTAAATGATCATGGTTGGTAAAATAACAGCCCTCTAACTGTTCTTTATATTTCAAAAGTGCTTAATGTCCAGACAAAATTATAATAGTTAAGCTCACTGCTCCTACTGAAATACTTACGTCACTGATCTTCTCTTCTGGGTGTTCAACAACTAAAATTTGGAGACCAATACTAGAAAGGTAACTGGACTATGAGGACAGCCAATATTTTGGCCCTGGCCCCTCAAGGTCAACAAAGATCCAGGACACAAAGGAACCTTTCCTACAGGATCCTACATCTTTGGTAAGTCATTCAACCTCCTGAGCAGGGAGATTGCTGGGCACCAGAGGACAGTTGTACCATGTGCCAAAGGAGGATCACCAAGAAGGAAAAGTCTCCCATGATTTCACTGAAAGTTTAATATTTTTTAAATGAATGAAAGAAAGAGTACAATTCCACTAGTGGTGACTTACAATCTCAGCTTCATCATATTACTGGAATTAGTAGTTCGGTCCCACATGAGATACACAGAGGCTGCCCCACTAGAGGGCGTTGAGGTCTTGCCTCAGTTTGGTGAGTGAGGGTGTGGTTTGATTTTTGTGTCCTCAGATAGTTTCACGTATTACTAGTGATGGTTTTAAAGAAAGAACAAAGCTAAAGCTATGATTTACTTAGCACAATTTGGAGAAAATGTGCAGAAGTTGTGTTATTCATTATTTCAGTTCCTTGATAACTAATTATTTACATTAATGAAAAGTCAAGTTTCACATAAACATATATGACACTATTCAAGTTGTAGGCATTGAATTATCAGGAAAAATGTATTATTGGAAAAAATTTTTGGTTTTTTTCTAATCCAATTTTGAAGATATTTGATATTTCCCTTTGGCTATATGAAATAGGAGCTGAATTACATTCTATAAAAGTGACTGAAAGAGAGACTCACCAAACAGTTGACAGTGGTTATGTCTAAGAGAGGAAACCATGATTTGAGATAATGGAAAGATGTTTGCTTCTTATTTATTATACCTCTGGGTTATTTGAGTTTTTATAAATGAATGTTTTTTTAATTTAAGTAAAAAAAGTAAAAAATCAATTGCATGTAAAAATGAAATTAAGGAGACAATTATAGAAATGATTTTGAAATATGTCCAAATGAATATGAAAATTATTGTGTCCCAAGGCATTATTAAATATTCTACATGCATCAAAAAGGAAATTACACGGTATTCTTGAGCAATTCTTGGGGTATATAGTGGATAGTCACATATAGGTTCGAGAAGGTTTTCAGAAATTAAATTTATTTAATTTGTTCTAACCCCAAATATGCCAGTTTACTTGAAAATAGAACACCTTTTTCTCCCAAATTTAACAAAGCAGTTAAAAAAACAACTCATTTTGAGGAAATCTGAGGTACACAAAAGAACATTTATAGTCAAAACAAATTATGTTCTGAATAAGGTTTTTCATATTAACTTCAAGCTGATGAAAAATATATAGGTATACTATATAACATTATTTTTAAAATTAAAAATGTGTAAGTACCTTTTACTTCTTTTGGAAATATATAAAATATATAAATCAAAACATCAAATCATATAAAAATAGTGAAAGAATAAACTTGTAAATGCAAGTAGTGACCTTATGATATCACTTACAAAACACCCTTAAGGAGTGTTTAATGGGAAACACAAGTAGTCAGATGGTCTTGGTTTCACTGCTAACTCAGTTGAGAAGGCACTCTTCCTGTCCAGAGGACTAGAGAGAGTTCAACCACCCCTCCATCAGCCCAGTAAGGAAATATCACAGAAGCATCTGGGCAGAGAATACAGAGCATGCTGGAAAAAGAGGACATTTTTAGGAACACTACTTTTCAAGATGAAATTTAAATTTAAGATGGAACAATGAGGTAAGCAGGAAGCTGTGCTTCTTTCCCCTGCAAATAGAGACAAGAGGGGTTGTTGGTGGTGGGAGCAACCCTTGAGAATAATTTAGGACATGTTAAGAATTAGCAAGGCTGGGTAATGGCAAAAGGTAGCAATCTAAAGTAAGCAAGAGTAGAAACTATTTTTTTTTCACATTTGCTAAACATATAGAGATTATATGTGTGACTATCTAACATAATCCTTCCAACTGTGTATTCTTAGTAAGTATATAGCATGAAACTATATATGTATTGTATACTTAGATGTTATTACTCAGAATAATTTGTCATTTTCCTTCAAATCCTTATTCATTTTTTTTTCAGTAAGTGTAGATTAAAGAATCCCATCAGATATTTGATGTGAGTGACCCTATGTAAATAATACAGCAAAATTTTGTTGTCTCAATTAGGTCAAACATGATAGAGATGAATTATCATGATAAGAATGTATTTTTAAATGCTTGTTTTTGCCTATTATGTATTCAAAAAATTATAAACTATTGTTTCATGTGTTTCAAACTTTACGTGATAGCTTATATAAGCATCCTTTTACCACTTGATTTTTTCTTGCCATTATATTCCTGAGATTCATTTATAATAATACATGTTCTTAGAGTTCATTCATTTCAACAGCTGTACAGAATTGTTATGTAAAAACTCCTACTTATTTAATGACATCTGATCCCGTCCCTCTCATTCACTCTGCTACCTAACTCCCCTTGATTAGTATTTTTTTCCTCATTTCCTCAAGCTTCAAGAATTTTATTTTCCTTTTGCTAATATGATTCCTCTCCATGCTGACATGAGGAAGTTTTATTGGCCCCCCTGAGGTACTTGTATAGGAATTGAGAAGTGCCCATTAGAGGAGATGGTTTCTTATGTTTCAATCTTGTAGACAGTCTATGAATCAAAAGGGATTTTTCAGGGTGAGTTTAACAATCTATTTTCATTGCTGTATGTGTCACCATTTTTCTGGAAACTCTTACTTATCAGGTAGAACTTTACCTAGGAAGGTCCTCTGACAGCTCAATTGCGCTCTGCTCTGGATTCCACAGTGAAGCCAGAAAGCTGTTAGTGTTGCTCTTGTTTCTATGGTAACTGTCTGAGGGGCCACAGATGGGATCATTGATTCACTGTAGGACCAAAAAAGGAACTAAGTGGTGAGGAAAACCCCTTTTAGTCAGAAATTTTTCATTAGGAGGTCAAGACCTTAGAAAAATTAATGGAAAAGTACCAAACAATTCCTTTACGTATTTTTTGTTTGTTTGTTTTAAATAAGTACTGCATTAGTCTTAACTAGGAAAGTTTACATTTGTGTCATAATTAATCCTTTTCCCCTTTACTTTCCCTGCCCCTTGCCCTTTCCCTTCTGTTAGCCTGTCTGTGGCGTTTTCTTTCCACTGTAACAGGATGCCTCTTTGACCCAGTAGGACCTGGAATGGTGTGTAGCAACTACAATGTGCAGCTAGCTGTAAGTAGTCCCATACATACTTGTGATTCTCTGAGGGATGATTCAGTAAATACTCTCCAAGCAGTGCTGTGCAGATTTCCTGCCTTATCCAGAGAAAAAGAAAGCCTCCTGAGTAGGAGTCAGGGTGGGGAAGTTGAGCAGCTTTCCAGTTCCTCCTGATTTAGGTCTTTATTATTCACCTTCAAATTCTGAATGTTTAGAGTTTTTGTTTCATAATAAAATATACAATTGTAAAAACATTAAAAAGTCAAATTAGCTTTTATTTTGCTAACCCACTATCATCTTTGGCATAAAAAAATTAACAAGTCACTATAACAATCAAGAAAGGGTCCGCCACACCATTAGACAATATACATAATAACAACAAAAAGACTTGGGTTTAAGATTGTTGCAGGCCTCTAGGGAAAATGCAGAAACATTTGAACATTTCTAAGTAGTAAACTAGTTAGTTGTTGGTGGCCACACCTTAATTTCTACTCCCCAGGGATTGTGTTATAACGAAAGCATCTTGAAGCTTTGAAAACATCATATTGCATAAATAGCAAGTAAACATTTTTATAGCTAGTAATTATATTGGGGTGCAATTTTTTCTGATCATTACTATGGGGCTTCTTCTGAAGTTGCTGAGCAGCCAGATAGAATCTGGGCTATTTATCAATTCCTTTATCAAGGTTAGAGATGGAGAATTAGGGTAATTCTCCAAGGAGAGTGAAACTACTTATTTTTATTACAACATAGTTGTTCTTTGATCTACGCCTGATTCCTGTATATTATCCCTTAGTGCCCACTTGCCAAGTTTCTTTACAAGTTATAAAAATGTTGTAGAAATGCTGAGCAAATTCTTTCCTTTTAAGTTCTGAAGGGAAGTTCCCACATAAATGTACCAAAAGTACAAAACTCTGTCAGTAGTTGGGCAAAATTCTTGCCCAAATTTATCCTCAATCAAGTTTTTAAAAAGATCCACTTTTCTTAAGCTTTTCAACACTGAAAAGGAACTGTAGATATCATTCTTGTGTTACATCTTTGCCGATGAGTATATATATTAACATTTGTATGTATACACACAGTTGTTCATGAAACAAACTGTATCTTCAATTTCTAGGTGTTGTTTTTGCTTCACTCGACATGTGCTTTTTCATCTGTGGAATCTCAAAAAGCAAAATGTTTTATTGTTTGTTAGTATTGTTGATAGTAAGAAAGCCTTAGTTTAAAATTGAAATAATTGA